ACAGTATTATTATTATTATTATTAGTGTGGTTGTTGTTATCTGGTAGGAATATTGTGTGCAGATTTACTAAGGAAGTTTATGGGCGTTACACTCACTCACTTTTTTTTCCCACCTCCTCTGAACAGCGGTCACTGTGGCGCACAAAGCACACCCTTGGACAATGTAGTTGTAAAACAACGAATTCCAATACTTGTCTGTTGATGGCAGACTACATTTCCCGGCGTCCCTCGGTGCCGTTTGTGATCCGTTGTTTTATTGCTCAGACGCGGCTAGTTCAAGTTGCCATAGCAGAGAGAAGCAGAGTCTTGTTCTCTGCTAGTTGTCATCCTCAAAGCGAACTACTCGGGCCTCCCGTGTAATGTACCTCTACAATGTTCTTTTTTTACCCTTTGGTTTTGTTTTCTGTTTTTATAATTTTATCTCAAAGGTGAAATTAGTTGGCTAACGTTTGTTAGCCAGTTAGCTCTCGGGTCGCTGTAGTTGTTTCCACTTGTTGCTAGCCAGGAGGAGCGTCCATCACGAGAGCTCCTCAGGGTTGAAGACACTTTATGTTCGTGTCTTTACGGGCTGTTTGAAGTTACGATGGCAGCTCGGGTGTAGTTTAGTGATGTCACAACTCTGCACAGCAGAAAATGTGCGTTAATCAGATTAACGCTACACCGAATGTTCAGCGTGTCCGCTCCGACGGTTGTCACGTCTGCGCAGTCGGAGGTTTTCATTAGCCTTCTGCGGGATTTGGATCAAACATGGACACATCCAGCGAGTCGGATTCTTACGACAGGATGCGGGGGCGCAGGCCCCGGGGGCGGGAGACTTCCCGCAGACCTGGCCGGGACAGAGGCGGTGGGGGCTGCAGAGACGATGACCGAGCTGCGGACATATCCGACAAAATCAGCACTCTGGCAAACACCTTACAGGTAGAGAGACATCACAAAACTTTAAACAACCAAATGATCCTGGAAACCATAACAGATTGTCTACATTTTAAAGGTAATGTTTTAAAAGTGCTTGAATTTGAGATAAAAGAGCATGGAAGTGAAATGATATGTGGCTATCAGATTAATAGTTTACTTTTAGGGTAAAATTGTTTTTAGCTTTAATTAATGCCTGAAAATATTCATTTTAATTTAGAATTCTTTAAATATATTCACAGCCTCAACATTGAGAAGTTGAGACTTTGTGTAAAATGTAAAAGCAGAATGCAGTGATTGGCACATCACATAAAGCCATATTTTATTCAGTTCAGTTTATTTATGTAGCGCCAAGTCACAACAGAAGTCGTCTCGGGGCGCTGAACAGAAACATTCATATTTAAAAATAATAATTTAACACTATTTATCTGAGGAGCAGACTGCTTTGAGTTTAACGCCATCGCAGAACTCTCATCTTGAGCAAGCATGAAGGAGACGGTGTTATCATAATTTATCATAATGTCACAATTTATCATAGTAAACATAAAAAAATAGATAAGAAATTGTTATTTTAATCCTAAGTTAAAAAAAATGAGGTAATTTTGAATTTGACGTTTTTTAATGTATTTTTTCTTCTTTCAGCTGCTCTCCTCTTCAGGGGTCAGGGGTCACCACAGTGAACTAACTCGCAGGAAGACTTGGCGAGTGTTTTTCTGCCGGATGTCCTTCCTGACACAACCACAGACACTGAGCTACCACAGCTCTCTGTGTGGAGCAGAGAGCTGCTGTCTAGAGCATCAGAGAGAGCAGATGGTGGCGGTTAAGGGCCTTGCTCAAGGGCCCAAAGTGGGGCAAATGAGGTTGGAGGCAGTTGTGGGTGCTTCACCTTTCTTAGCTCGGGGTCAGTGCTGGGGTCTTGTGATCCTGAGGCTGCAGGCTCGAGCTCAGGTTGTGTCAGGAAGGTCATCTGGCGTAAAACAATCTTTCATGTGAGTTTGCTCACTGTAGCGACTGGCCACCCTTGAAGAAGGGAGCAGCCGGAGCTAACCAGTGTTGTGCAATCCATCTTTGTGCAGCAAGATTTTATTATTTGTGTCTAGAAAAGTTTGACATTTGTACCTGTATTACAGAAAATACAGAAGTCTCAAGTATTCATTTAAAACTGTTTGAATTTGACTCAGTTAATTATTTTGTGGTTTATGACTCATGCTTACAGAGCATGAATTTCCCTGCATGTGTTTCGTGTGTAAAGAATCGCAGTATGTGCTGATCAAATGTCTCGGTGTCAGGACACCAGCAGGAACTTGTCCAAGGTGGACAGAATGCTGGGTCAGTACCGAGAGCATGCAGATGATCAGGCTGAAGCCATGGCAGTGGTGAGACACGTTTTTATTATTATTATTATTATTATTGCCTTTTATTGCAGGTGAAATGTTTTTTTTTCTGTGTCTCTGTCTGTTAGCAAAATATAGCTTGTTCCAGTGGATAGATTGTAATGAAACTCTCAAAAAAACAATCATTTGTACTGTGCATCTACATCTGATTAACTTTTGGAGTCAGCAGTATTCAAGATGGCCACCACAGCTTACTGATTTTAGCCAACACAAAAATGGCTTTAACTCTGGCAGTTTCACAGACATTGAGCTAAAGTTTGGTGTGGTAGTAGCTGACAGTCATCCTCAACACATAATCTGAGAGCTAACATCTCGTGATATCTTGCATGAGACACATTATCATGAACAGTGTTTGACCAAAGCAGTTATAACTCGATCCTTTCACATCGTACAGAGATCTTAGTTTAAAACATGAACAGACGAGGCAGCGTGCTGTCCTTTATAAAAAGCTTGGGCTTCAATTAGCTAAAGACTGTCTCACTGAGCTGAGAGCAGCTGATAAGCAGTAAACTTGATGGAGCCTCCAGATTGTCTTGCAGCTTTACAGGACTCCTCCGTTTCCTTGTGAGAGCTGCAGAAGGAGGCGGACGTGCTGCTTGAATTTGGAACATTTTCTAAAGATAAATGAGACAACGTTCCTTTAACAATAACCACGGTCGTTGTTGGCACCTCCACCTCGCCACCACTGGCCCATCAGACGGCGTGTTCTTGACTCGTTGATCACTTGGTGGAAAACAGATTTTAATGAGATAGGAGCTAAAATGTATTTATTTTCCTGCAATGTTTCTGCAATTATAGTTTTTTTCCTCAACAGGTGCAGCTCTGAGTTAGTGCCTGCACATATCTGATTATTTAGTTCAACTATTGGCTCGACGTGTCTTTAGGAAGACACTGAACCCCCACTTTGCTCGCTGGTTAGTGCTGAATGTTTGAGGTGTTTGTCATCAGACGTCATAAATCCACACCTTTTGTTTTGTACCGCTGCCATTTTGTGAGCAATAACAAATCATTTTAGTGCAGTAAGGCTGTTTGTGCGTTTATGAAGCATTCACACTACTGTGATCCAGTTTTCTTCTGTACATTTTTTGGGCGCGATTCTCATCCCGCAGTTTTCAACTTATTTCAACAAATCATGAATCAGAACGTTCATCACTTTCAGGACAATCCTGCTATGACTTTTGGTATTGGTGCAACTTTAGCTTTTTGAAATATTTAGCCTTTTCTGCCATTTTTTTTTTCCTCATAGAAAATGAATTGAGTTCATTTTACTTCCTTCAAATGTTTATATCTGTTTACAACATTTTACTGTTCCTTTCACATTTTGTTCTGGTTCAGCTTCTTTCAGCTTCCTTCTGCAAATTTAAACTTTTTTTCAGCTATTTTCAGCTCATTTCAGCTGTTTTGTGCCCCTTTCAGATTTTTTCTAACTACCGGAACAGTACAACATTTTTGTGCTCCTTCTCACTTCTTTCTGCTAATTTCAGCTTGTTGTGCTCCTTTAAGCTTATTTCTGCTAGTTTCAGCTTTTTCCTACTAATTCAGCTACTATTTAGCATTTTAATGCTAATTTAAGCTTTTTCAGCTAATTCCACATTTTTTGCACTCAATTCTACTTTTTTCAGACTAATTCAGCAAAAATGTGCTCTCACCCCTTCTTGTAATTTTAGCTTCTTTCTACATTTTAAACTATTTTTCTGCTGTTTTCTTTTGCTAATTTCAGATTTTTTCAAATTTCTACTTTTTTGTGCTCTTTTCTGCTTTTTTAAGCAAACATGTTCTTTCTGCTTTCTTTTTAAATCTCAGCTTGTTCTACCTCTTCAGCTACTTTTTTGTAGCATTTTTAGCTAATTTCAACTGTTTTCAGATTAATTCAAGTTTTTCGTGGTAATTTCTGCTAATTTTAGCTTGTTGTGCTCATTTCAGCCTTTTCTGCTACTTCAACTACTTTTAGCTGTTTTTAAGCTAAATTTAGCTTTTCCAGCTGATTCCACAATTTTTTTAGCTCATGTCATCTCCTTCCACTTCTTTCTGGCAGTTTAAGCATCTTTCAGCTTTTTCATCTACTTTTCAGCTATTCTTTTGCTAATTCCAGCATTTTAGCTGAATTCCTAATTTTTGTGCTCATCTCTGCTTATTTATCCGTTTTCTTTTGCTAACTTAGGCTTGTTCTTCCATTTCAGCTACATTTCAGCTGTTTTTCAGCAAGTTCAGCAATGAGCGTTCATACTGCATTTTTGCAGGAAATGCAATTTCTCTAGTTTATCTTACATTAGTTTTGTATTATTATTATTGTTGGTGTTGTTGTTGTTGTTGTTGTTGTTGTTGTTGTTGTTGTTGTTGTTATTTTTACTATATTTTCTGCTGCACTTGTTTATCATATTCTCATCTGAAGGGATTTCATTTGGTTTAGTATGTTTGGTCCACCCAGTTCTGTTTTTGCTTTCTGGTCCCAGTTTATTTTTTTCCAGTCATGTTTTTATTCCATGTTTTTCCTGCATTAGCTCCGGGGGAACTTAGAGGAGTCAATCAGTCAGCTGCAGACCCAGAGGCTGAGCAGAACCAATGGGCTTCACAGTGTCTCTGCTTCTACCTTACACACCAGTGACCTGGAACCCTCAGGATCAGGTATGGAAACTAAAAGATGCAATAAGCAGTTCTTTTCAGTCTTCTGTCTTGTTACTTTCTGCAGTTTTTGTTTGGTTTGACGTTAAGAAGCTCGCCGTCTTCTGAAAACCATTCCTTTGGGATTTCAGAGGGCCAGCGCTTCTATCCTACGTCTCCACTCAGGGATTACCCAGGCTCTCCGAGGAGGAGGAGAAGGTCTCAGTCTGCCAATGTTCACTTCAAGGATCGCAGTGGGACAGGAGAGGATGTGAGAAATATCAGACAATTACCAGTCACACTTCTTACTGTTTGTAGTTTTACAAAGTGGCCACAAGAGGGCAGACTGAGTCAGTAACATGAATTAAATTGATGCTGGACAAGCATAAACAATGATTGTTTGTTTTTTAAAGAACAAAAAATTCATGTTGATTTTTTTTCCATCCTCAGCTTCTTCAGTGTGTGTGAAGTGACGGTTGCAGACATGTGAGACGATGATGCTTCATGTTGTGTTTTCAGTAACTGTGGCTTTGTGGCTGTCTCACGTAGATTCACACACTGCACCAAACCCTGCGGGATCTGCGCTGTGACCAGCAGAGGCTCTCAGATGACCTGGATAGAGAAATCCTCAGGAGAAACCGGTATTTTCTGCTACTAACTCAGCACAGCAGAAACTGGTTACGCCACCAGACACTAAACTACATGGCTTTAGAAAAGACTCAAGAAATATGTTGTATCAAGAAGCACAGTTCAGTCATTAGTTGAAGATATCGCTCATTTCTTGTTGCCACATTTACAAAGCTCGTCTGAATCGTGTCTGTGAAATGGCCTTCTCATTTGTATTTAGTTAACTTGCCTTGAAGTCTTTAATGATTGCTCATTAAAACAGCCTCTTTCGAAAAACTAATTTTACACATTAACAAGACTAATCAACATTTGAGGCTGTTTATTAAAAAAAAAATCACTAAATGACTCCATAATTAAATCAACTAGTAGAATTTGTATGTTTGTATAAGGCTTTACTAAATCAGTACATGCTGGTTTAGTAGCCCACACTAGGTGCTAAGGACTTTAATACAATCTTGTGTTGTTAAAGTCTCTGTAGATTTCAGAGCAGTGAAGAATACTGAAGAGTTAGTTTTTTACCCGCTCAGCTTAAGGTTTGGCACCGTCTTTGCAAATAAGTCAGAGTCAGTTTCTTTATTGTCATTCGCACCTCATGTGGTACATGTGGTGGAGCGAAATTATGTACACGGGGTCCCAGTTACATCCAACAATAAAATGTATAAGAAAAACAGTAATAACATCTAAGATATGAACTAAGGATCAAATAAATATACACTAAGCACTCATAACATAAAACATTGAACATCAGCACAAACATGAACATGAGTCTGAGCAGATGTGCACGCATGAACACATCAACATTGAAACAGATCAGCAGCAACATGAAACAGATCAGCAGCAACATGATATGGTTTTTCACAGTGATTATTCCTCAGGCGGCTGAGGCGAGCTGGTCTGGGAAGCTCAGTCCTCACCTCCTTCTACAGGTGTGCAGTGGAGAACATCCTGTGCTCGAGCATCAACGTGTGGCATGGAGGCTGCACAGCTGCAGAAAGAAAAGCTTTGCAGAGAGTGGTGAAGGCTGCACAGAAGTCTGTCGGAATCAGCGTCCCCACCATCACAGACATCTACACCTCCAGATGCAGGAAGAGGGCCACCTGCATCATGAAGGACCCCACTCACCCAGCACACACACTTTTTGCCCCACTCCCCTCAGGAAGGAGGTTGAGGAGCATTAAGTGTAGAACCACTAGACTGAGGAACAGCTTCTACCCTGAGGCTGTTAGACTCATGAATCTCTAACTAGAAGTAGAGTCTCTGATGAGCTTTCTTGATCAGGCTGGTGGTGTTGTTGCTCCAGCTGAGGTTGTCATTCATGTGTACACCCAAGTACTTGTAGCTGGAGACCACTTCCACCGCAGATCCTCTTATGTTCAGGGGGGTGTAAATGTTTTTGTTCCTTCTGAAGTCCACAATCATCTCCTTTGTCTTCTTCACATTGATGTGAAGGTTATTCTCTTTGCACCAGCTCTCCAGGTGTTCCACCTCTTGCCTGTAACTGGACTCATCATTGTTTGTGATGCATCCCACCACCGCTGTATCATCTGCAAACTTTACAATGTGATAGCCTGGATGGGTAGCTGCACAATCATACGTGAGCAGAGTAAACAGGAGGGGGCTCAACACACATCCCTGAGGAGAGCCAGTGCTGAGGGTTATGGTGGAGGAGGAGAGGTTGTGGATCCTCACTGACTGTGGTCTGTTTGTTAAAAAGTCTAGTACCCAGTTGCAGATGGAGGGGCTTAGTCCTAGTGTGGATAGTTTGTCCATCAGGGTTTGGGGGATCATGGTGTTGAAGGCGAATGTGAAGTGCACAAAGAGCATACGGACGTAAGAGTTTTTCTGCTCCAGGTGGTTGAGCGCAGTGTGGACCACAGAGGAGATGGCATCCTCTGTTGATCGGTTCTCACGGTATGCATACTGATGAGGGTCCTTGTTGATGTTGATGGTTGTTTTGATGTGAGTCATGACCAGTTTTTCAAAGCATTTAGCGACTATCGGGGTGAGGGCCACTGGCCGATAGTCATTCTATATTTTATATTCAACATATTTTAATATATATATATAGAGAGAGAGCTGCTGCCTCTCAGCAAGCAGGTCCTTGGTTCAAACCCGTCCAGAGGCATTTCTAGGTGGAGTTTGCATGTTCTCTCCGTGCATGCGTGGGTTTTTTCCGGGTACTCCAGTTTCCTCCCACAGACCAAACACATGCATGTTAGGCTGATTGGTAACTCTAAATTGTCCCTAGGTGTGAGTGAGAGAGTGAATGGTTGTTTGTCTCTATGTGGCCCTGCAATGCAATGGCAGCCCCCAATAAAGAAACCCTTATTGGGTGTAGAATAATTGGTGGCTTCCATGCATTTGCATGGGAGGCTTTCCTATGCAATGCAATGACAGCCCCCAATAATAATGTTTTTTTAAATATAGAAAATAACAGTCTATTTTTAAAATTTACTGCTTAAAAAACAATAACATAAACAGTGTAGTTCTAATTAAACAGTATCAATGTCCCAAATCTTTAGAACGTGGGGGCGGGGCTTAGTTACAGCGGAAGTCTGAGTGAGTGATGTCACTTTGAGCTTTTTTTTTTCTTTCTTTGAGGTTTGTATTAGTGTAATGGTACAGAAAGTCTGATATCAGTGATGATGTCACAAAGTTGTATACAGAAAGTCTGTCATCAGTGATGATGTCACAAAGTTGTATACAGAAAGTATGTCATCAGTGATGATGTCACAAAGTTGTATACAGAAAGTCTGTCATCAGTGATGATGTCACAAAGTTGTATACAGAAAGTCTGACATCAGTGATGATTTCACACTGAATTTTTTCGCATCCGAAACGCTCGTCCAACTGGTAAAAGAGGGAGAATTTCCTGCAGCAGACTGAGATTTCAGGTTCAGCAGATTCTCAACGAAGCGAGCAATATTTGCTGCAGCAGTTCTGCTGAAGTCTGCACCAAGCAAGTGATGGCAAAAACTAACCAGGAATGTGAGGAGCTTGTCTCCAGTTTCGAAGAAAATGCTTCGGGAGTTCAAAAAGAACCTTGAAGACGCTCGCAGAAAGTTCGAAGATGAAAAGTTGGACTTTCAGAGAGAAAAACGAAAGTTCAATCTGCAAATCAAAGAACTGGAAGACGCAAAAATAAACCAGGCAGCCAACAAAAATAATCCAAAAACGGCTAGAAAAAACAGAACGGAGGAATTTAAACCAGACTCCAAGAATGAAAGTTCGAAGTCGTTTGAGGAGAAAAGGCTTCATTTAACAGTGTCTCCGAGAAACATGGAAGCAGCTAATAGTGAAATGAGTGAGTCACAAAAATGTGTAAACACAGACAAGCAACAACTGGAGCAGCTTGTGCTCAGTTTCCAGAAGGAAAAATCAGATTTCAGAGAGTGCCAGATGAAGACAAAGAGGGAACAAACTGCCTTGGCTAAGTCTCAAAAAGTCCTCGAAAAGGACACGCAGGACCTGAAGGAATTTAAACTTTGTTTGAAAATGAAAAATCAAAAGTTGATTGCGTCTCAGAAGCGTGCCGAAGAGGACAAAGCTGAACTGATGGATTTCCGGAAATTCTTGACTGAAAAACAGAAAACTCTGCAAGAGACTTCGCTCAGTTTAGAACTGAAAAAAATGAGGTTGGAGAATGATCAGAATAAATTAGAAACGGACAAACAGAAGTTACTGGAAGATCAAAGAAAAATAGAACCAGACAAACACAAGATACTGGCAGATCAAAGAAAAATAGAACTGGACAAACAGAAGTTACTGGCAGATAAGAAAAAAGCAGACCACAGACAAGCTGAACTTGCTGAGTTACGCGAAGACCTCAACAAGAAAATGAACTCTCTGAAAGTCTTAAGAGCCAGCTTGGAAACTGAACAAGAAGCGTTACGTGAGTCTGAAAGGATCGTAGAGGAGGACAAAGCTGAACTGCTGGCGTTCCGGTAAGATGGCGCCCGTGTACATGGCCTGCAATCTACCTCTGACGATACTGTTTGGATTATTTTTGCTTTTTTCGCTTTTTGTCTGGGATATCAACTCGCTGCTTGTGTATGACCGACAACAGCTCCTCGATCTTCGATTGTCTGTTTCTGCTGTCGCTGATTCTGACCATTTTGATCGTGACTTGGGACCCCCCCCCCTCTTCCACCCCTTCTGGCAGACAGGCCTGCTTGTTTACGCTGGGCCCCAAGCCTGCCTTCTCGGAGATATCGATCCAGACGCCGGGGTAAACGTGCCGGCCGGCTGGTAAAACTCAAAGCTCTGCGTGGTCAACGTTTCCACAGCCAGCTTCCTACGTGCCCGGACCAGGGAAAATATGGGTGTTGTCTACCGGCCCGGCGCTTGGACCGTCCTGGAGGCGCTGTTTTTGAAAATCTGCAACAGTTGGCGCGCACCACCCCCACCATGGCTGGTTCTGTGTCGAACCAGATCAGGACGTGCCTCATCAACACAAGGTCTGTTGCCAACAAGACTTTTATTCTAAATGACTTTTTTAAAGACGAGGGACTAGATTTTCTTTTTCTCACGGAATCCTGGTTGCCTTTGGGTGATTCAAGCGCCTTGGTGGAACTTTTACCTCCGGACTGTCTGTGTTTTAATGCCCCGCGGCCATCAGGCCGGTGGGGTGGTGGAATATTAACTGTATTTAAATCAAACTTTTCCTGTAAACACTTGTCCACCCTCATGCCCTGCTCCAGTTTTGAGCTGAGTGCTTTTGAACTCGGACATTCCCCGCCCGTTCTGTGCGTGATTGTTTATCGCCCCCCTCGTTCCAAGGACTTCATAAGTGAATTCTCTGATTTTCTGGCTTGCATCACACCAAGATATGATCACTTTATTATCGTTGGTGACTTTAATATTCACGTCTGTTGTCAGGAGAAGCCGTTAGTGAAGGACTTCCTTGATTTGTTGGACTCATTTAATTTAACCCAACATGTAAATGCTCCCACCCAACAACACGGTCACACTCTGGATCTCATTTTAACACGTGATGTCTCTGTTTGTAATTTGG